TACAAAAATAGCTAGACCAAGATCAAAAGGAAAAATTAGCATGCATTGCAAACACAGAAAAATAATGTTATGGTTTTTTAGCACACTTTGACTGTAAGAGTGCATGATATATATGTATATATATAGACTGCTAACATGTAAAAACTAAGTAGAAAATAAATTAAAAAATTAAAGAGCTATTACAACAGTTAAAAAAAAGTTGCTAGAGAATTAAAGAATTGTAGTTGTTAAAAGAGTTTTAAAGCAAAATAGTTCTTATGATTTTGTGATTGTTAGAAAATTAATTCAAAGTGTTTAAAAAATTATTGTTTCAGTAGATAAAAGGTTCAGAAAGTATAGGTGTTGCCTCGCGCGCATGGGGGTACCATTAAAGGGTTTTGTCTTGCTTGGGTCAATTTTATGCGCGTGAGCACACTATTTTTTTCCTATTGGTAATATTTCATATCAAAGTTCGTTATATATCAAAGTTCACTATATAAACACTAAATAAAAGTTTTATTTTTTCAATGTAAGATAAAAACCTTTTGAAATAGTCTTAATTATTTACAATAATTTATTAGTAGTTTTCTGAGTAACACGTTTGAGCTAATTTTTTTCCCTTAATGGGCTCAGGACACGTGTATAAGCCCAACACTTTGAACCTAATATTTTTGGGACCTCTAGCAAAACTCAGGAATTTTTACTCGGTAAATAGATTTTGGATCTCATTTTCCTAACATTTGAGATGCATAAAAGAATCTCGCATGACATACCACTTCTACATCCTATTAATATTTATGTAGAAGATATTTATCCTTTATTAATATATATATATATATATGTATATATATATATATATATGTATATATATATGAGATATTTACCTCTCATTAATGTTATCAAGAAAAAATTACTCTTCAATCCCTTTACTTGAACAAAAAAACAAGATTTATGAACTATAAATACCCCATGAATCACCTAGATAAAAGTTGTCAATCTCTATTTTTTACATATTTACATATATATTTTTAAAGTTTTTTTTCTAAAATATCATTATATTTTCCCTCTCTACAAAAGTACTTTAAGCATATGAAAATCCTCGTATCTACCAAATGAGATCTTTTAATGGTATTTAGCTTTCCACATCAAGTAATCACCCATCTAGGTTTTTTATACCAAGTTACCACCTACTTTGACTAAGAATAGTAGATCAAATTACAAGAACTAAATGATCAATTTATTAGCCAACTATATAAGCCTTGTTCCCAAGCATCTTGGATTTTAAAATATCATTAATTGGCTTTGTTTGTAGGAAATAATAAAAAAGCCATTGATTTCTCCTTAGTCTCATTTTTTTTACATTTCTAGGTTATTTCATAGAAGATAACCAAGACACACTTAGATCAAAATATATGACAAATCTACTTATAACCACAAGCACTTTTGTCCAACTAGATTCTTAATAATTCATTAATCATATGCAAATCTTTACTTAAATCTTATTTGACAATCTAAGAAAAAAACTAAGTCTTGTCACCCTAACAAGTTTTGACATCTTTAACAACACAAAGCTTTAGTATCATTGTCCTCGACCATTCTTAATACCTATAAACAATTGTATTACTCAAAAAAGTTTGGGTGAAATAACATTTAAAATAATATTTATCAAAAATAAATATAATAAATATTGTTTAACTAAACACTTTTCAAAATTATGGTTAATCACACCTTACTACACTATTAAACTACATTACCAAATAAATCTTGTAGCTTGAAGGCTAAAGAATTATCAACCATAAAAAACCTATTTTTCAAAAAAAACTAAACTAATTCTTAAGTGTTATGTCTCATCATGAATAATTATTAAATTTTATTTTAAGTCATTACATTGTATTTTGACGCTGTGCAGGTTTTTTCTTTTTAAATGTAATATGTGTTGAAGTTCATCTATAAAGTTTAATTAATATAGTTTTATATTAATTTTAAAAAGAAGTAATTTCATGTTGGGTTTTCATTTGTTTTTGCAGTATTTTTATTTCAATGATGTTGCGATTTATTATTTATCTCTTAAAAAAAAAAACGAAATGGGAAGTCCATACGTACAATACTATAATTAGTTTACTAAATATTATGTATATTTCTTGAAAATAATTGCTCACCAGCCGTTTAAATATCAATGAGATACAATATTCTTGATTGTGTGAATGAAGGCTTTAATGAAAAAAAAAAAAAAACCATTCCAACTTGCATACATGAAAGTTCTCAAAATATTAAAATTATTGTTATAAGTTTTGGTTAAGTATTTGTTTATATTTAGTATCGTGATATATAATATTTTTTTAATTTATTAAAATAATTTATTTTTAATTTTTTTTTTACATTAATACATCAAAATCATTAAAAGATATATATATAAGATCTAATTAAATAGAAAGAGACCTGATGATATGTAAAAGCTATACCGAAAATATTTTAATTTAATAAAAAATAATTTAACTTTTAATGTATAAGTTATAAAACTTTTTTTTTTTCACTCACGAGAATAAACTGTAGAGTGATGTTTTTTACTTGATGTGCGCGTAATATTGCATAAGATTGAAAATGGTTTTTACAAATCACTTTGGGTAAAAAATACATTTATTTCATGTTTCTCAACCTAATAAAAGTATTTTGAAAAATAAAATAAAAATATAATTGCAATACCAGATCATACTCTTAAGACTATAAATCACTTTCGGTCAGCCCTGCTTAACACTAAATTGTTTTTTATTCAAATAAAAATTATATATTTCCAAGTCACTTTTTTAATCATATAACTATTTTGCTTACAATATAAAACTTATATATAATTTTTTTAGATTTTAATATTTGAAATTTCTCTTCGATACTTGAAAGTTAATAAATTAACAAAAAATTAAAAAACTTGGGAGGTGGCCATTCTTCACATTAACAGTGAACCTCTTGCACTTTTTTTAATTGCATCTTTTTACGGTATAATTAAAGTTAAGTTTCAAATTACAGCAGAAATATAAAATTAAAAAATAATGGTTTTTTTTTTCAATTACATCCTTTTAATCTAATTATATAAAATTAGATTCTAAATCACAGTTGAATTACAAAACTAAAAGATAAAAAACTAAAACGTGAAACACTAAGAAAATACATGGTTCACTTTAAATTCATGACAACTTTTATTTCAATTTAAAATTTATTTTATTTTTTTTCTAGTTGGTTATCGCGATTCCGACAACAAGAATTGCTAAGTTTGTTGTTAACGGATTTCATTCAATAATGAGAGCTCGATCATAATGAGTTTTCCCTGCAAGCATGCATGAAAAAAGATCAAGTTTCTTTTTAATCTTTGAGGTTCGATTGATTTTGGTTTTTTAGGTGATTTTGGGGTATTTTGAGTTTAATAAATGATTTAGAAAGGGTTTTATTATAGTATTAGGTGTTTTTGATTGAAAATAAGTTGAAAAATTGATTTTCAACTAAAAAAACCTCACCTCATGATTTTTCAATCACCACAATAAATGTTGCTTTCTAAGCTGAGCAACATCAGGTTATATCATCTATTTCCCATAAATGTGGTCTTTTTTAAGGTCTTGACACGATGAGCTACTGATGAGCTACTCATACTCGTGTGCCTAATTTGATCTTTTCTTGTTCTATTTTTCCTATAACATTGAATTTATGATGATTTTTTAATATTTTTTATTCAATCTCATACTTTAATTTTGAATTGATTTTGAATTAGTATTTTTTTATTATATAATTAAAATAAAAAAATATCATTGCACCCATTAAAGTTTATTAAATGGATAATAGGTTTGATGAGTTAACTAGAATTGATACAATACTTCTTAATCTCAATGTTAAAAAATAAAAATATTAGCTTTAATGTTTTTTTAATATATTTTTAAGTAAAAATATTTTTTAATAATAATCTATATTGCCTTTAAACCAATAAGTTTTGTCTTTGTTTTTTTATATTAGTTTTTTTGTCTTTTAAATTTTATTTTTTGTATTTAAACCCAACAAGTTGATTATATTGCATCCCATACTTAATTTAAAACTTACACTAGGCATGAAGTAAAAGTCAAAATTTTCAAATTTAACTTAGAGGACGAAATTTAAAAATAATGATGAAAAGTTTTTCATAACTTAGATATTATTTTTTACGTTAAAAAAAATTAATCTAGCATGAAGAGTGAAGTAAACTAGTGACTTACCAAACGAAAGATTTTTTATGAATAATGGAGGGTGATTTTCTTAAAACAAAACTTGAAGGATGCCACGTTCCATCCATAAGCTTGGAACGTTCTGTTGAGCTGGCTTCGTTGTATATAAAGTAATATTACCGATGGCATGCAGGACTCCATGGCCCAATGGATAAGGCGCTGGTCTACGGAACCAGAGATTCTGGGTTCGATCCCCAGTGGAGTCGTTTCTTGTGGCTGTGTGTCTATACCCGCATTCTCCGTGTGTTTACTTTGTTTTTGTTGTTGTAGATGATTGGTGAAACCTGCAGAAGTCGTTGCGCTTTATGTTCTTGAAGGTGTCTGACAGTAATATTTATTTTTTAAAATATTCTTTTATATTAACACATTAAAATAATTAGAAAATACAAAAAAAAATTAATTTTTTTAAAAACATAAAAACAAATGAATATGTAAAGTCTAATGTCGCATTCCTAATTCCTCGCTTCCTTCTTCTATATCCATTGCTTCGAATGTTATCATGAGACGTGAACAAATGGATTTAACATAAAGAGGAGTCTGAATCTGATACAGTGAATAAATGCTCCCTTCATTCTGTAAATGGCGACCCTGTCACTCTTTTTTACACGGAACAAACGTCTTTTTTATATCCAAGCAGTGGAGCAACTACAAGCATGAAATAGCATTGCGAAATATTTACTGTAGTAGACTCATTCATAGGCACAAAAAGAGTCAAAACAGGTGAAAATGCAGCAATCCCTCAAGCACTGAAAAAACTTTAAAAAAAATCTCTGTGCAGTAGAAAGGAAGAGAGAAGAAGAATCAATTGAGAGCATAGCAGTTAGCACAAAGCAGCTTCCTCGGCTCAGACACAACAGGACCATTTAACTGTATAGCACCTTGGTACTGTCCAAGAAGGGGGGAAAGGAGGAGGAAAAACTACAGGTCCCATAGTGTTCAAATAAATTGAGTCCTACAAATGACGCAGCCTCCTTGCCACACAAGGGACTGAAAAGGGGAGGAAATTCAACTTTACAGAGTCTCAAGATGTAACAACAGATTAACCCAAGGGTTCCCAATGCTTGAAACTCCATATTCCTTGCTGTATTCCCAGAGCACAAGAACAAGGGGAACATGTAAATTAAAAAAGAAAGAAAAAAGGAAAAATGAAAAGCGAGGAATAAGAAAGGATAAGCAGAGAGAAAATATTATTTGATTTCAGTTGTCAAAAGATGAAGAGAACTCAATGAATCAACACCGCCAGCTTCTCACCACCTATCCGTCCTTTGCCTGCCAAACAAAACCTTGTTAGCATTGGGGATTTCATTTCCCCTGTCCAGAAACAAGGGGAATGCACATGCAATGCAGGCACATAACACGATCATGGCAAAAACACCATGGTAGAGACTTTTATTTTACCATAACAAGCCTGGGAAAAAACCCATCCATGCAGAAAAGGTTTGGTTTTAACAAGAGCTAATTGCTCTTTAAGCATCAACGGTTCCTAGGAAGATCAACAACAAACCTAATACAACAAACATCTCACCACCATAGCCACTCTGCTAGGTGACTGCAAGGCACTTGCAAACCAGACGGATCGATTTAGCCTTTGCAGTTATAACGGAAGAGCAATCATGGGAATCTATTGTCTAAATACAGGTTTCAAAAACATTCTTTTGCCTTAAACTGCCCAATGTTTTTCTATTTCAGAGAGATGTATATGATTTGCTTTGGCATGAAGAAACAGAATAACATGGAAGTAGTGAAATGCAGTGAAGCTGTGACAAGCAAAGGGAAAATGGAAGAAGATAAAAAATGTCCTAGTTCATTTTATTCAAGACAAGAAACTGAAGCTGAACAACCACAGAAGAACTGCAAATTAATTAGCTGGGTAAAGCTAGGGCTACTTAATTCTTTACTAAGACTTCGTTACTAAATGATGTGGCAGCTTGTGATTAGTGATTTATTAGCTAATACATTCTATAATAATAAAAAAAAATCACTTCATATGATTTGGAAAACTTTCCATACAATGAAATGCCACATCACTAAGCAAGAAATATTTTGCAAAATATTTAAGAACCCCTTGCCATTACTCTTGCTAGATGTCCAGGCCTTTTGAAGTAGCATGCTCAATTGACTGGCAGGTTAAAAAATTAAAACAAAAAGGTTCAGAGATAAAAGGATTGTATCTAATTTATTGAACAAAACCACCACAGAATTCCCAATTTAAGTATACAGGCAGCTTTCATAGTTTCATGAGCTGCTCCAACAAAAAGCTTGTTAATATCTGGAGCTCGTTAATAAACCATTTTTTTGCTGGCCTTACGACAAATTAACTTCCCAAATGAATTGGCAACTCAAAATTAATCACTGAACCTTTTGCCTATATTAATAGATTAAACCATGGCTGACAATACTGAACATAAGATCTAGAAAATACCACTATGAAAGAGCTGGCAAAAGGGGCTACTTCACAGCTAATGCTAAAGGGAAGATCAGAGATACATGAAAGAAGTTATTACTATGTCTTTACCTGTCAAAATCTCTGCTACCCAGAAATCCTCTTTCC